CAAGGAATTTCTAGTAAAGATTTTCAAGGATTAAAGTGGTTATGCATTTTCGAATTAATACTTAACCGAATTTTGTGTTTTTATGCTCGGGAAGAGAAATGAAGTGGGGAGGTGGGGGGGGGGGAGGGGAGAGGAGGAAATGTATCCTGTGGTTTGTTGATTCATTAAGTAGAGGAGATTAGAGGATTGAGTGAGCTAATTGAGTGGTTATACAAATGTGTGCTTGTTATATAATCGAGAGATTATAGTTGCTTTGAAATGGATATATGTATTGGTATATAATTGAGTGTGTGTGTGTTTGTGAATGGTTGTTTTATCGAAAGCGTTTTTGTTTTGTTTATAATTTGTCGACGGTTGTTGAATGATACGTACATGAGTGAGAGTAATTTAGAGAAGGGGATTATGAATGGATGTGGTTTGTTTGTTGTTTGATGAAATGTATGGATAATGTTTGTGTGTTTGAGTGAAGTAGTTTGATCTGGTTTCTATTGTTCTTCTTGGTGTTGTTGTTGTGGTGTGTGTGTGTGTATGTGTGTGTGTGTGTGAGTGAGTGTGTACAGATTTGTATTATGAATTGAGTGTTGAAGATTTGTTAATGGTGATGTGAATGGTATGTTGTATATTAGTCGTGATATGTGAAGTTGTGAGTTGGGGAGTGAAGGAAGGCACAAATGAAAACGATTATCATTTACGGTTGTGTATAGTGTAGTGATCGAATGTGGTGATGATTGTCTCTCTTCTCCTTCGTATTATGTTTTGTGTCAGGGTGTTGTTCGGTTTAAAGGGGAGAGTAATGTTTTGTTCCGTCGTTGTTGATAATCTTTGAAACACTCATATTCTTCTTACATAGTATGCGAGAGATTAGTTTTTGTCCTATTTCATTATCCCTACTGAAATCCTACTAATAATACTGTTTTAGGATCGCGCTTTGAGTAACTATTGGGAGACATCATATGATTTCAGTTATTTGTCACGACTGCGAATATTGTTGAGTGATTGTTCAGTGTAGATGTGAGTAGAGAGATGTATGTTTTGACAAAAGTGAGTGAATTCATTGTAATCGACGTTAGCTAAATGCTAGGTGAGAGGGCAAATTGATTGGTGCTTGTTGTTCCTGTTGTCGTTGGTTAGGTATCTTCATCACCTCCATCTCCTACACGTTCACCTCAAAAGAGTCCCATCTTCCTTCGCTTCACTCCCTCTCATACCAACTTGTTAGTTTCCATCTGTACATCTTCGAATTTATGCGACATGACACATTAGACATAGGTCGTCATCGACGAAATCCAAATCTTCTTCATGGATCTTTTCATCAGTCATCGGTCAAACAACCAGAGTATGCCCATCTTCTCCCTCCCCTCACAACTGTTTCTTCCATGATTCAGTCGAATCGAGTCAAGTCGAGTAGAGCCGAGCCGAGTAGAGCCGAGTCGAGTAGAGTAGAGTAGAGTCGAGTGGACCACAATGAGGAAGATCATCATTGTGATGGTAGGCGGCAATCTTGTCTTACCTGTCCACCTGTCTTCACTTCACTTCACTTCAAAGATATCATTGAAGTTTCCATAGTTAATCACTTGGTATGTAGCATCGTCATCATCATCATCATCAGCATCATGATATGGTTGTTGTTGAATGAGGTTGATGGAAGTTAGTGGCATTGAAACCTTAGTGTTGAATCAGCTGTCAAATTACTTGTTGGTCGATGCGTCGATCGAAGGTCTTTTGAAAGTGGATGGAGTTGAGGTGGAGGTATTGTGGACTGTTATTCTATACTCTGTTCTATGATGATGCTTAGCGTAGCACTGCGATTTGATGGTCACATGATTTGTTTTTCCTAAAGCCAGCCAGCCGGTTCTGGTCTCAGCTTTGAATGCAGAGCCTTTTTAAATCTCTCAGGAATGATGCGGCTCGATATTTTGATGGGATAGACAGGAGCGTGATTCTGCACCAGCTCTTGCAAAGACGTCTGTCGCCCTTTTTCGGGAATTTGACAAGGTAGCCCTTCTTCCACTCATCAGGTTCCTTTCCTTCCTTCCAAACCTTCTACAATAGTGGTGTCGTGTTAGCATGTCTGTTGCTGATGTCTCTTTGTCTGTTTTCAGTGCTTCTGGAGGAATACTATCTGGTCTTGCTGCTTTCCCGGTTTTTGGCAACTTGATTACCTTCAGAACTTTGGCTTTTGTCGGTGGATTTGTGTTCACTAATAGTTCTGCAGTTGGGTTCTGGTGGTATTTCTGGACGTGTCTTAGATTGTGGTGGTCGATTCAAGAGCTTTTTGAAGTGGTCGGCGCATTGTTTCCTTTGTTTCTCCTCTTTGGCAACCAGGTTTCCTTTACTATCTTCAATTGATCTCATCTGCGTTAATCTCCTCCTAGATAGTATTTCGATTATTTGATATAGTGTTGTCAGGTCTCTGCTACCAGCAGCCTGTTCTGCTTCAGTTGTAATTGTGTCTTTGCGCGCACTCTTCTTCATTTCTTTGTTCACGATAAACCAGTTGTATATTTTAAATTTGTAATCTATTCCTATTCAAATATAACGAGGAAACTTTTAAATAGTTGTGCTTCGTACAGTTATTGGATTTTGCGCTACTTCCAAATCTGTTTCATTCAAACTATTCTATATCCTATCGGACGGTTTGTTTAGACAGGATAAAATACAACGTCAATTACAGTCTGTTGATAGTATGTATTTAGACATGTTTATTTTTATAGAACCTGAAAGCCAGTGAAATAATTTAAGCCGGAAGTCACTTTTTCTCCATCTACCTACAGTAGCTAAAAGGCAGATAAGAGAAGATATCAGCCAAGTTGATATTATAAATCAAAAGATAAGATAGGATATGTTTTTCCTTATTCCATATTATTCGTCAACACCATCAACGGGAGAAATATAAACGTAGTTGTTTCTTTCACCTAACTACCTAAGAGGCAGCATCGTCTCAACTACAAACGGCACAAGCACAGTTGACGATGTCAAAGCCAGGATCGAAAAAACAGTGGGACACACCTTCCCATATCAATCTGAAATCAGTGTCGAGATCTGCTACACTGTACTGCTTTCCACTGCACTCAACATGTGGGACAACATCCGAATTTTCAATACTAATAGTGTCAATCAAGTAGTTCAATGCTTCTATGTGATGACTGAGTGACTTGGTGAGTTATGAAAAGCATTTCCAACAAACTACAGACATTCATCAACAGCTGCTGCCTATGTTCACTCGATACTGGGGATCAGATGACTAGAATGAATAAACAACAAGGAACTCTGCGAGCGAACCAACCAACCAGAAGCTAACGCCCAATAAATATGTAATAGAACAAAGTGGAGATGGGTTGGGTATACACTGAGAAGTCCGACCGGGGACATCACGCTCCAAGTCCTCGAGTGGAATCCAGATGGGAAACGACAAGTGGGGCATCTGAGGGTGACATGGAGGCGATCATGTGAAGAAGAAATGAAAGGTTGTGGGCGGTCATTGAGCTAGGTTGAAAAGCCTGCACAGAATAGAGTGCAATGGCGATGTGTTACTGAAGCCGTCTACTCCATTAGGAACCCGAAGGACAAATAACAATGATGATACTTAGAAATATCACACAGTGAAGGAACAGTATCATTTACTGGATAACGTTTCGGACACAATTTATTCCCTACATTCATATCAAGAGGATAACTTCACGACTATGTGACACAGTTTATATAGTCCTAATTTCTTCTCCTTTATGTCGATAAAGGTAGTAAAATTTTCCAGATATCTGGGCCAGGTACTTCTATTACTGCATGTAGTTAGTGTTGATCTGAAAAACGTAGATTTGCTCATCAATCTCTCCCTACCTCGATCCAACTAAGTTGGTTTTCAATACTGTCGCTCCGTCGCACTCTACTATGTGGTTGTATGTAGTTGCATGTAGAGCTATAAGCGAGCTTTTTCCAAATTCCTCATCATATTAGGATCTACTAATCTTGATTTAGCTAAGCATTTATACTTTTTCATTTTAACTGACCCCAGTTGACTAGTTTGACCTATGCATTTCATCTCGCAATCATTGAAATGGATTTGGTAAACCAAATTATTCTGACTAATTGGATCAATAGGATCTTTTAACCTACAAAGTTTGTTTCTAAGCCAGTTTGTTGGTTTAAATGCCACTTGAATCCCAGTCAGACTTACTGAGAATTCTTCGCAATGCTTCTGAGGTCAACACACATACATAGTATGATAAGATAGACCGACAGCCTTAAAAACTAACTCAGTTAGGTGGAAGGAGAGATTGATGACTGAGTCTACGTTTATCAAGTCAACACCGTATTAGTAGTAGAAATGATTCTACACCTGTCCCAGTTATATGGGAAAATCCTACTACCTTTGTCATCACGAAGAAGCGAAGAGAATTCGGACTGTATAAACTCTGTCTCAAAGTTGTCGAGGTACCTACTGATATGAATATGGACAATAAAACGTTTTTATCCATTAAATGATACTGTTCCTTCACTATGTGACATTCCTAATAAACAGACTAAAAAAGTTTATATGATGTTGTTGTATTAGCCCGTTGTTAACTCAACTGAAATTATCCGTCTCTATTTGTAGATGGATTGGGCATGCACTGAGAAGACCATTCGGGGATATCACACACCAGGCCAGGCACTGGAGTGGAACCCAGATGGGAAACGACGAGTTGGGCGTTGGAGACGAGGGTGACATGGAGGAGATTATGTGAGGAAGAAATGAGAAGTTGTGGGCTGTGGTGAAGCTAGGTTCAAAAGTTTGCAGAGAAGAGAGTTTACTGGAGACGTGCTACTGAAGACCTATATTCCACTAGGAACTCAAGGGACAAATAATAATGTAATAATAATTTGTAGATATGCTTCCACGCGTATACCCGTGTTTCATGTTTAAATTGATGGTATATTGCAACAACATAAATAGGTGTTTACCATTATATAATCACTATATGTGAAAATAGATTATCTCAATGTATACAAATGATACTCACCTTTGAGTGTTTGACTTAATTTTCTATTTTCTGTTGAGACTTTACATGTTGACTCCTTTTTTTTGTTCTCTTGAAAATTGATCAAATTTTCAGATGATTTTATATTTTGTACTTCTGTTGATCGACTTTCTGCCTCGAATCTGTCAACATTCGGATGTTTCAATAAACTTTCTGAAGTTGAATTCATTTTTGGTGGAGGAGGTGGTGCTGGTTTTCTTCCACGTCCTAAGATAGAAATGAGACAATAAAAAGAGTATCTTACACAGGAACAGCTTTTAGTCATACTATAGAGAACAGTTGGGGACATCAAACCCCAGGCCAGGCCATCAGATAGAAGCCAGATAGGAAACGACAAGTTGGGCGTCCGAGGTGAGGGTGACATGGAGGAGATCGTGTGAGGAAGAGATGAAAACTTATGGGGAGTCGTGGAGGCAGGTTGAAGAGACTAGAGAGAAGGAAGTGAAATGGCGACGAGCTACTGAAGCTCTATGTTCCACTAGGAATCCAAAAGACAAATAATAATAATGATAACAATAAAAATACCAGAGGACAGTATCATTATTGTGTATATTCCATTTTTACTGAATAGATCACTCTTCAGCTTATAATTGGATATACTGTAGTACTTGCAATAACCAGATTGATTTGATCACGGGAGGTGTGTAATTTACATGGGGTGAAAGCTTTGATGTAAGTATATACTACTTCTGACTCGTATGTATTTGATATAGCCTTTTTATGATGAATTCTTCTGTTTAGGAAAACGACTTAAGCTCAACTTCATGATTTAGAAGCGTCTTCAAGACTGAACGAGAAACGATTGTGGGTTATGACTGAATACAGTATATCTAACAGGATTTTTGGGAAAAAATGCAAGACCCAAACAACAAATAGAGATTCCCATTTCAGTTCAAAAGGAAGAATTATATCTAAATCTTGACTTGAACGTTGACTTTCCTGTTTTTATAGAATTTCAAGCTCGCTGAAAGAAGGTCTCTTCATGTCGACATTGAGAATAGTATTCTTCAGTCATCTACTGTTTCCTGAAATTCCGAAAGATAAGCTTCCGAGTCTGACTGCCTCCATGTATGTTTATCAATTTCACCGGCTTTTGTTAAGCCAGGTACGGAGGTTGTTCGATGAACATAGTCAGTTTTCCCTATTTTTATCACACTATACAAATACAGTCATGATTTTACAGTTGATCCCTGGCAGTCGTGGATGCACATTTTTGTGGAGTCTTATGTTAAGATGCAACACCTGTCCACTGTTCTCTAGCTGATGTTATCAATCCATGAGGAATACTCCGTTGAAGCATATACTTTTGTGTTGAAGTCTAAAGGGGGTTCTATCCAAAATGATCAAATAACTATTTGGAGGTAGTATTTATCATCGACTGACATCAGTTGGCCGGACCATTGAAAATCTTGGAGCACTGGACAACTGTTTTATCCCAGTGTGGGACTCCTCAGCGTACTGCTGGTTAACACACAGATCCTCAGAGTCCCTAGTTCGATCATACTAACTAGCCAGATAAGTTGGATAAACTTTACACCCTAATAGATTACTATCACAGCCCTTCTGATTTGTATTTCGTTATCAGTACTTACACGTTAGGTAAGGTACACTAATTAAGTAGGTCCTAGAGTACATCGATTTAAGTAGGGTTGGTTAAATGTTAGATAGCAGTAACCCATCCAGGACCATTACAACTGGTGAACCCGACGTGACTTGGAACACCTGTTATCAGTATGGGAGGTGGGTAGGAAAAATTACTGGACGGCATTTCTTTCCCGATACTGCACAGTTCCTCGTACAACTTAGTGATGTGAACCACAGCGTCGAAACTAGATTGCTCATTTGTTGAAAAAGGGCAGGAATCTTTGTGTGAATCGGACGGAGTAGACATTGGAGCTGAAATAGTCGTGTTGAACTTGCTAGCGTCAATAGTTGTGTCAGTTACTTCCACCAGCTCCATCAAGGGAGAATCGTGAAAGGGTACTATGATTCTTTCTCTGTCTGAGGCAATCTCTGCAGTCAAAGTTGCTTGAGAAATACATCATCAGTATTGGGGTCTGCAACCAGCTGCTTCATCTGAAGAAGCAGTTACGTGGGCTTACATTCACCGAAACCTACATTCCTGAAAAGTTCTTCCACTTTCTACTGATCAGTAAGTGCAACGCGTTTGATGAGGGAGGTTATAAGGCGATCGTACAGATTAAATGTTGGGTCATCTAACACATCTGAGACATCTTCGATTAAATTTGCAGGCAGGCTCATGACAACTAAGTTTGACTTAGTTTTTTGTGGGTGAAAATGCCTCGAAGCAAATTTAGCTTCGACGTGATCAGACTACGCAGATAGTCTCTGGGCCCAGAAGATAGGAAGCCGAATAGTTATAGCCATCTGCGCAGTACAGTCGTTGTTATCAGCCATTGGTGTAAGGGAGATAATGAGGCACGATGTTGATAATAGAAAAACTGCAATATGTAATAACCAAAGGAAAGCGCAATACAAAAGCATGCCGAAAATAAAACACAGTAGGATAAATAAAGTACTGGGCAAAGAAAGAGAGTAATACTGGAACTCCCCACTTGTAATGGTGCTGGGTGTGTTACGATTACGTAACGCATAACCAACCCTACTTAAATTGACGTACTCTAGTACCTGTTTTATCAGTGTACCTTACCTAACATATAAGTAATTACTATTATTACTTGTCCCTTGGGTTCCTAGAGAAACATAGGGCTTCAGTAATACGTCAACATTTCACTCCTTCCTCTACAGTCTGTCAAACTTGGCTCTATAACTCCCTATCAGCTTTTATTTCTTCCTCACAGCACCTGCTCCGTGTTACTCTCGGACGCCCAACTAATCGTTTCCCCTTTGAGTCCCGTTCGACGGCCTGACGTGTGATGACCTTAAACCGTGTTCCCTTTCTATGTCCAATCCGATACAATCTATCTCGACTTTCTTCCTATGTATATTTGTAGGCAGACAGGTCCTTGGTTCGTTGCCAGACCACAGTACCTACTTGCTTACTTTTAGTATTTTGGTTATCTGATCTCCTTCTTCAGTACCGAGTGAGCGTAGGCGGCAGCTGTTCATGTGTGATATGTGATGTTTGTTGGAAATGCTTTCATAACTCACCAAGTCTGTCAACCGTCACATAGAACCACTGACTTACTTGACTGAATTATTGTTGAAAATGCTGAGTGCAGTGCAGTAGATCTCCACACTGATTTCAGATTGATATGACAAGGTGTGTCTCAATGTCTTCCCAACACTGACTGACTCTGATATCGTCATCTGTGTTTCTACCACCACCTGTCGTTCAGACGATCCTATCTCCTAGTTGGTAAGGTAAGTAAGAGAGACAACTTCCTTCAGATTTCTTCTACTGATGGTGATTGGTGCTTCCTGTTCTTGTCGTCGCCGTCGTCGTCGTTGTTGCTTGGACATCTTCATCACCTCCATCTCCTACACGTTCACCTCAAACGAGTCCCATCTTCTTTCGCTTCACTCCCTCTCATACCAACTTGCTAGCCTTCATCTGTACATCTTCGAATTCATGCGACATGACACATTAGACATAGGTCGTCATCGACGAAATTCAAATCTTCTCCATGGATCTTTTCATCAGTCATCGGTCAAACAACCAGAGTATGCCCATCTTCTCCCCTCTCCTCACAACTGTTTCTTCCATGATTCAGTCGAATCGAGTCAAGTCGAGTAGAGTCGAGCCGAGTCGAGTCGAGTCGAGTGGACCACAATGAGGAAGATCATCATTGGTGATGGTAGGCGGCAATCTTGTCTTACCTGTCCACCTGTCTTCACTTCACTTCACTTCAAAGATATCATTGAAGTTTCCATAGTTAATCACTTGGTATGTAGCATCGTCATCATCATCAGCATCATGATATGGTTGTTGTTGAATGAGGTTGATGGAAGTTAGTGGCATTGAAACCTTAGTGTTGAAGCAGCTGTCAAATTACTTGTCGGTGGATGCCTCTATCGAAGGTCTTTTGAAAGTGGATGGAGTTGAGGTGGAGGTATTGTGGACTGTTATTCTATACTCTGTTCTATGATGATGCTTAGCGTAGCACTGCAATTTGATGGTCACATGATTTGTTTTTTCTGAAGCCAGTCTGGTAAGTAGTGATATTGAAACACAAATCAGAGGGTCTGGTATTTAAGAATATATTCAAAGCAGGCATGTATCCAGTTAGAATAAATTTGATAGTAATTTCAAGGTGTAAGGTTTATCCAACTTATCTGGTTAATATGGCTGAACTATGTACTTTGTGGATTTGTGGGTTAACTAGAACAAAGGGAGCACAAAATCGAGTGGAAACCTGCTCGAGTGCATGCTCGTTAAAATAAAACTTGAAACATCTTAAGCATCTAGAGGTAAGCTAGAAGTATGTTTCATCAATGTCAATATTTCACAATATCTTTCTCATGTTCTGGAAGGTACATACTCAAACCATACTCAAATCGATTGCATACTGGTGAACTACTTTTTTTCGCAAAAGCGGATTTGAATTTCAATTTGATAAGCTGACATCGTCTTCTTGAGACTAAAAGGTGTGGTAAATTCAAAATTACGACCAGAACAGCCTGAATGGCTTCAGGAAGAAGAAATCATGTGCGGATCGAATTGTAACGCTACGCTACTCATTATTATAGAACACAGTACAAAATGGAAGTCAACTCTTTACCTCAACTTCATCGATTTTGAAAAGGCCTTCGATCGAAGCATCGACTGATAAGCAATTTGGCAGTTGATTCAACATTATGGTTTAATTGACACAAATCTTTATCAACCTCATTCAACAGCTTTGCGATGACGCTACGTACGAAATAATTCACAACACAATGGAAAGCTCAGTGATGCTTTTGAAGTGAAGAAGGGTTGACAAGTTAAGCAATGCTGCCTACTACCAACAATGATCTTCCTGATTGTGGTCGACTGGATCATGCAGCAAACCGTGAGGAGCGAGAAGACGGCCATACGCTGGACCGATGAAAAGACCCAAGAAGAAGACTTCGATTTCGCCGATGATTTGTGTCTAATTTCGCACTAGCTCAAAGATCTGGAGGCAAAAACCAACAAGTTGACAGAAGAGGCTGGAAAGACCAGACTCCCTTCAGGTGAACGTAGAGAAGAAGAGGTGATGAACATACCCAACCGAAAACAAAAAATGCCAATGATCATCAACGGGAGAGACTTGAACGAAGTTGTCTCTTTCACCTACCTACCTACCTAGGCAGCATCGTCTCAACCACGTGCGGCGGCATAGATGAGGATGTCAAAGCCAGGATAGGAAAGACAGCAAGAGACACCTCCCTTCATTAATCTGAAACCAGTGTGGAGATCTACTACGCTCAACACAAAGCGTGAACATGATCCGGATTTTCAACACCAACCTCAAGTCAGTGCTTCTATGTGATGGTTGAGAAACTTGGCATGTTACGAAAAGCACTTTCAACATAATACAGACATCATTCATCAACAGCTATCTATCTATACTGAAGATCAGATGGCCAGATGAGTAAGCAACAAAGAACTCTGGCAACGAACCAACGAAGCAAGAACCTATCACCCAACAAATATGCAGAAGAAGAGAGTGGAGATGGACTGTATTGAGCATACACTGAGAAGATCGATTAGGGACATCATGCGTCAGATCAGGCCGTCGAGTGGAATTCAAAGGTGAAACGACAAGTTGGGCTTTCGAGGTGACGGTGACATGGAGGAGATGTTGTGTGAGGAAGAAATGAAAGGTTGTGAGCAGTAGTGGAACTAGGTTGAAAACCTTGCAGAGAAGAGAGTACAATGAAGACGTGCTACTGAAGCCGTTTTTTCACTAGGAACCGCAGGGAAAAATAATCAATAATAAAACATAGTGAATAGGATAAGGATTAGAATTTCTACAGTTAGTGAGTAAGTTGTTCTTTGGGTCAGGAGGAAGCTGGGATACACAGAAGACAATGTTCAACATGGTATTAAAAACTCTGTGAACATCCAGATCCTGTACTACAACTATTCAACACATTTATTTATTCTGCTTACCTTTATTCAACGTTTCTGAAGATGAATTAGAACTAGCTAAATGTTCTGTACTTTGATTAGATAATATCACTTCATTTTGTATTTTCATAGTGTTAACAGAATTATCAATAGTTGTTTTTGGAATGACATCGAAGGTATTTTCTTCAACAATTGGTTCACATGGATAAATCATATTGTATGGATGAATTTGTCTTGTATTTAAATAGCATGCTCGTTCTTCATCATTTTCTGTTGTATTTATATGCAAATGTGATTGTGATTTTTCATTTAAAGCTTCATTTACTAGTCGATTATAAAGTCCCATATTTCTGAATTGATTAGTATACCTAAGAAAAGAAAAGTAATGTATCATTTCCAAGTAATTAAAGTTCTAGGCAAACTTTTCAACAAAACTGTAATCAAGTAATTATTTCGAAAGGTTTAAAAAATTTCGAGAAGTTTACGAAATAACAGAACTTTTTCAAACTAAGGTATTTACGACGAAGGATATGATGATTATCGGAGATATGTATTTTTGAGATGAATGGAAATTTTTTATCTTACAAGTAGTATTCTTCATGGACTGATATCAGTTGGGGAACCATTGAAAATCTGGGAGCATTGGACAGCTTTCTCATCCTAGTATAGGACTTCTGAGCACTATGCACCCACAACCCGGTTACCGATCGAACTTACGACCTTTAAGTTTCACGGCGAACGCGTTCACCATTCAGCCACTCTGTCGGTTTCCAGTGGTTGACAATTTCCAACTTCTGTCAATTCACGACATACCGCGATCAGTTGGAAGTAAAGTGGACGCTTACCGAAGACCTTGGGTGACAATCGCGCTATGTCGTGAATTGACAGAAGTTGGAAATTGTCAACCACTGGAAACTGACTGAGTGGCTGAATAGTGAACGCGTTCGCCGTGAAACCTGAAGGTCTTGAGTTGCATCCCTAACCGGGTAGTGGGTGCGAGCTGCTCAAGGGTCCCATTCTAGGATGAGACAGCTGTCCAGTGCTCCCAGATTTTCAATGGTTCCCTAACTGTTGTCGATCCATGATAAATACTACTTCCAAATCGAAGATTTGCTTGAAATCAATTTTATGACATCATTTATCTGTAAACGCAGCTAAAAACAAACCGTCTGAGCTGTTTTTCTAATCCACACAATAAATATACTTAACTAGTTGAATTCATTATATGATAGAACACATGTTGTATCAAGGTGAAGAGGACTATTTATCAAAAGCAACAATCTGAACAGTGAAGAATATTTTTTTCAATGGAATTCTCTTCAGGTTCTACTATTATAAAATGCATTTGTACAGCATAGAAATAAGTCATGTTAACGGGTAGGTACATTTTCAAAATCGAGTGAGATCTAGAGATTGTAAGCAAATCATTTTATCTTATCTAAATTCATCAATATTGAGATGATACATTATACAGAAGAATGATATGATGGGAGTGGCGTTTAGTTAACTGAGGGTTAAGGGAGAACATGGGGACATATTTATTCTGAATTCAGAGTTCAGGCTTGATCAAACATATTGCGAAAACAAATTTATGAAACTGTAGTCAACGAAAGACCTAACCAAAAAAGCAGAAAAGGACCTAATTGTCTCAGTAAAGAAATTGAAAGATAACAGATACATTTCATCAACGTAATTTGAAAGCTAGACAAGAGTAAGACAAGGCTGCCTAATATCACCTATGATCTTCCTGGTTGTGGTCGACTAGATGATGCAGCGAACCGTGAGGAGCGAGAAGATGGGCATACGCTGGTTGTTTGACAGATGAAATGACCCAGGAATAAGATTTGGATTTCGTCGATGACGACCTATGTCTAATGTGTCATGTCGCATAAATTCGAAAGAGACAACTTCGTTCAAGTCTCTCCCGTTGATGTTCATTGGCAATTTTTGTTTTCGGTTGAGTATGTTCATCACCTCTTCTTCTCTACGTTCACCTGAAGGGAGTCTGGTCTTTCCAGCCTCTTCTGTCAACTTGTTGGTTTTTGCCTCCAGATCTTTGAGCTAGTGCGAAATTAGACACAAATCATCGGCGAAATCGAAGTCTTCTTCTTGGGTCTTTTCATCGGTCCAGCGTATGGCCGTCTTCTCGCTCCTCACGGTTTGCTACATGATCCAGTTTACCACAATCAGGAAGACCATTGGTGTTAGTAGGCAGAATTTTCTAACTTGTCAACCCCTCTTCACCTCAAGAGCATCACTGAGCTTTCCATTGTCTTGTGAATCATTTGGTACGTAGCGTCATCGCAAAGCTGTTGAATGAGGTTGATAAAGATTTGTCTCACCTAAACCATAGTGTTGAAGCAACTGCCAAATTGCTTATCAGTCGATGCTTCGATCGAAGGCCTTTTCGAAATCGATGAAGTTGAGGTAAAGAGTTGACTTCCATTTTGTACTGTGTTCTATAATAATGAGTAGCGTAGCGTTGCAATTCGATCCGCACATGATTTCTTCTTCCTGAAGCCATTCAGGCTGTTCTGGTCGTAATTTTGAATTTACCACACTTTTTACTCTCCCCAGGATGATGTGAGCTTAACAAATTGAAATTCAAATCCGCTTTTGCGAAAAAAAGTAGTTCACCAGTATGCAATCGATTTGAGTATGGTTTGAGTATGTACCTTCCAGAACATGAGAAAGATATTGTGAAATATTGACATTGATGAAACATACTTCTAGCTTACCTCTAGATGCTTAAGATGTTTCAAGTTTTATTTTAACGAGCATGCACTCGAGCAGGTTTCCACTCGATTTTGTGCTCCCATTGTTCTAGTTAACCCACATATCCACAAAGTACCTAGTTCAGCCATATTAACCAGATAAGTTGGATAAACCTTACACCTTGAAAATTACTATCACATTTATTCTAACTGGATACATGCCTGCTTTGAATATATTCTTAAATACCAGACCTTCTGATTTGTGTTTCGTTATCACTACTTACCAGACTGGCTTCAGAAAAAACAAATCATGTGACCATCAAATTGCAGTGCTACGCTAAGCATCATCATAGAACAGAGTATAGAATAACAGTCCACAATACCTCCATCTCAACTCCATCCACTTTCAAAAGACCTTCGATCGAGGCATCCACCGACAAGTAATTTGACAGCTGCTTCAACAATAAGGTTTCAATGCCACTAACTTCCATCAACCTCATTCAACAACAACCATATCATGATGCTGATGATGATGACGATGCTACATACCAAGTGATTAACTATGGAAACTTCAGTGATATCTTTGAAGTGAAGTGAAGACAGGTGGACAGGTAAGACAAGATTGCCGCCTACCATGAACAATGATGATCTTCCTCATTGTGGTCCACTCTACTCTAATCTACTCGACTCTACTCGACTCGACTCGGCTCGGCTCTACTCGACTTGACTCGATTCGACTGAATCATGGAAGAAACAGTTGTGAGGAGAGGGGAGAAGATGCGCATACTCTGGTTGTTTGACCGATGACTGATGAAAAGATGCATGGAGAAGATTTGAATTTCGTCGATGACGACCTATGTCTAATGTGTCATGTCGCATGAATTCGAAGATGTACAGATGAAGGCTAGCAAGTTGGTATGAGAGGGAGTGAAGCGAAGGAAGATGGGACTCGTTTGAGGTGAACGTGTAGGAGATGGAGGTGATGAAGATGTCCAAGCAACAACGACGACGACGGCGACAACAAGAACAGGAAGCACCAATCACCATCAGTGGGAGAAATCTGAAGGAAGTTGTCTCTCTTACTTACGTTACCAATTAGGAGGTAGGATCGTCTGAACGACAGGTGGTGGTAGAAACACAGATGACGATATCAGAGTCAGTCATTGTTGGGAAGACATTGAGACACACTTGTCAAATCAATCTGAAATCAGTGTGGAGATCTACTACACTGCACTCAACATGTGGAACAACATCCGGATTTTCAACACTATCAATGTCATTCAAGTAAGTCATTGGTTCTATATGATGGTTTAGTGACTTGGCGGGTTATTTAAAGCATTTCCAACAAACTGCACATATCATACATGAACTGTTGCCGCCTACGCTCACTCGATGCTGAAGATGGAGATGAGAGGGATGGCGAGAATGCTAAGAATAAGCAGGGAAGAACTGTGGTCTGGCAACAAAGCAACGAAGCAAGAACATATCTCCCTACAAATATGCAGAAGAATAAAGTGGAGATGAATTGGGCATAGACTAAGAATACGGTTTGTTGACGTTACGCGCCAGGCCAGGCCAGGCTAGGGAGTCGTATCTAATCTGAATGAGAAAGGACGATTTGGGTGTCCAAGTGTGACATGGAGGAGATTGTGTGAGGAAGAAATGTGAGCTTCGAGGTAGTCATGGAGCCAGGTGAAGAGGACTGCAGAGAAGAGAGTGAAATGGTGGCATGCTACTGAATCCCTATGTTCCACTAACTTTCTAGAATAATATTTTTTTTACCAAGGTTTAAGATCAAATAATGGTTTCTTTAATGCTTTCCTTCATTCTAAGAAAAACCTTATCATGAAGTTAATCTAATATGCTATGATAGTAGGTTAAAGTGATTTAAACAGAACAATAGCTAATGGTTCTTTGACCCAAAATGAAACACATAATTATTATGGTTTTTACCAATATCGTCTTCATTTTACTCAACTAAATACGTTACATTGTTATTTTTATTTTCTGATAATTAACGAATTATATTTACTGAAGAGTGATGAATACTACTGATAAATTGTATGAACTTTGGAATTCATATGATCTAGTGAATAAGCTTGATATATGTACATAGTTCTTAAGAAAAGTCAAACAATATTTCCTTTGTTTATTTGTTAGCATTGAACATTGAATGGAATAGATTAGTCCAATATTGCTTATTCAAGTATGAAAATATACTGATCTTGGAAAAAAAAAGCATTTAAAGAAACTTTATGGTGGGTAGTGACTGTCAGTGGACGCGTTTCATTCTATTTCAGACTTGTCAGCTGAATGTTTCTGCCTCCCAGTGAGTGATGTTGTTCCCATCGAGATTTGAACTCAGGGCCGATAGCTTCTAAAGCCAGAGCATTATCCACTGGACCATTGAGCCTTGATGGCCACTTCTTGAGAGACGAGTATAGTTTAAGTGTTATTGCTTTGTATCATACCCTTGTTGATTGGATCGAAATGACTGGTCTTTATCCATTACAAATTTATATGATTAAAAGAAAAGCAATATAGAGACATTCGTGCAGAAGCCTATATGCTAATAGAGACCGATCATTTCGCTCCAGTCAATAACGGTATAATACAAGCACTAACACTGGAACTATACTCGTCGCTCTAGAAGTGGCTATCAGGACTCGGTGGTCCAGTGGCGTTTGAAGCGATCGGTCCTGAGTCGGAATCTCGATGGGAAGAACATCACTCACTGGGAAGCAGGAACATCCAGCTAACAAGTCTGAAATAGGGCGAAATGTTCGTCAAGCTGAATTTCACTACTAGCCACTATCCATCATTGCTATATACACAGTAGTGATCAACAGGGGAATTTTGTAAGTGTATTTCATCCAGATTATTAGCAGTAGCTCTTGAGCATTTTGTTCTTACCAAGATCTAATACTCAAAAAAACCTATAAAAAGGGAAGTGCATATTACTTTTAATCTGTTATCGACTCAAACTATCATGCTTATGAATACGATGGAAAAATAGTGTCAGTTTTGTAGAATGAGGTAAACCAGAATAGTGAAACTTGAATGAAGTATGTAAACCAGAATGCTGGCAGTTTAACTAGGATTATTCAGAATTGTCCAGCGAATAACACATTTAGACAGAGGAATAAAAGCTGTATTGAGAAGGAGCTTCCCTGCTTCTAGAGTGATCTCAGTTTACAATATAGTTTTCTCAATAACATAGTCGAAAATTGACAGATACTCAACTGACTCCATCTTCAACTGTACATGTCAATTAACCTCTCCTTGGAGAAGCAAGTGAACAAGAAGGGTGGAAAGAGGGACGTCTACTTGATTTTATGAGCATATTTCGAGAAATCTGTGTCGGAAAGGTAACAAGGTCTCTATCAGCTCAATCATCAGGCACCTGATAGAAACAAGGTGTCAAGTAAATGTTTCTCACTCTTTCAAGATCAACAAACAAAGAACGCCATGTTTATTATGATTTACAGAAGCTGCCACCATCAAACATTTTCCTCCTGACCTACGTACTCATTAAGAGAGTGTAATTAACCTTCCTTTACCTTGGTAACTGTATAGAATGTTTTGCATGTGTATGTATATAGTCGTCCTTCCTTTTTTGATTACATCATCTCCTCAAATATTACTTAGTGACTGTTAACCCCTCAACCTAATGATATCAAGTTTTTTTCATGTAGGTACTTAACCTACAAGCTTACTAACGATCGCTTCTTTTACACTCCTGGCTGTTTGTTATCACCCCCTCCCTTCTATCTCATCAGATGTAAACTGCCATTGACTTCGACACAGATTTGACTGATTCACCAACTTATAGTTAATCCTACTACTACTACTACTACTACTACTACTACTACTACTACTACTACTACTACTACTACTACTACTACTACTACTACTACTACTACTACTACTACTACTACTACTACTACTACTACTACTACTACTACTACTACTACTACTATACTACTACTACTTACTACTACTACTATACTACTACTACTACTACTACTACTACTACTACTACTACTACTACTTTATTTCACTTGTAAGCTGTTTACATCTGATAAAATGCAGTGAAATAGAGTGAGGTCATTTTAATCTGCAAATATCCTTATTCTTTCACTGTTCATATATCTAGTATTCACTGCAACACATCTGAGAATCCATTCGAGAATAGTGACTAATGTTCTTTTTTGTAGACATTCTGTTGGCATCGAATGACTGCTAGTAAATGGACAATATAGTGGACAACTTCAGACTAATTTATAATGATCCTTTGAAATTTACGAAAATCATGATATCATCAAATGGTAGAAACAATAAAATTTGGTTTATCAAAAATGTTGGCATTCGTCGGGAATTAGAAACCGTGAGTCACTCAGTATTGTAGTCAGCGACTTAGCCTATGAGCTATTCCGGTCTCGATTGGCCCCCAATAGGACTAAGCCAGATACATTCTTTGCTCTCCAAATATTAATCAGTGAACTATGTGATTTTTATCTACTTGCAGATATAAGACAATTCGATCCTTGATCCTTTCTTCATAAAATCAAACTGATTACATGAAGTAATTTATCTGAATTGTATAGAGAAGTTAGCAATGGTAGGATGGGTTCAAAGTTGGATTTATCAAGGAAGGCTTATTTTGAGAACAAGATTGTTTTTTAACACATTAAGCTGACCTAAAGTTCCGCCTCAAAGATTGGCTTAAATGACGTTTGTACATCCACTTTGGGCAGCGTTTTTATCTATGAAGTAGCTGTGACGTGTTTCTAGCATTAATTGGGAAGTATATCAAAGGGGTTTCAGAAATAAACAGAGTCTTCTGACCAGACTAATGGTGAAAACAAACGTCTCACCTTCTAAATAGCTAAACATTATTGAAGCAGGTCATAAAGTGGATGTACACATGTAATTTTAGCCTGTACATAAGATCTGTTAGGGAAGCACTGTAAAATTCACTAATTTTTATACCGGTATTCTACATATTACTCAAATCTGAATAAGATAAACCTTTAGGAATTTTTCCAACATATGAACTATCTTAGTATTTGGCATCGATATTAAAAACCGATCAAAATTTTGACTAACCAATTCAGAACAGAAGGAGATGGCTAATATCCCAAGTTGTAGTAGATATTTACATGGATAGCTGGGGACATATGACGTTAAGGACATTCCATTCTACCCTAAAGGTATGGTGGATATATATGGAAGGTAAATTTACCGTGTTAGACTTTGGATATATCCACAGCTTCTTCAGATGCATAAAGTCGATGGTAGATAGAGTCAAATTTACTTTCAAATTAGAAAATTTATTATCATTGTTTGTCCCTTAAGTTCCTAGTGGAACATAGAGCTTCAGTAGTACGTCACCATTTCACTCCATCTTCTGCACTCTTTTCATCCTGGCTCCACAACTATACATAAGCTTGCATTTCTTCTTCACAGCACCTCCTCCATGTCATCTTCGGGCACCCAACTCGTCATTTCCCATTCGGATTACACTTGACGGCCTGGCTTGGCCTGGCGCGTGATATCCACTAACCGTCTTCTCAGCCTATGCCCAGTCCATCTCTACTTTATTCTTTCGTATAGTTGTTGGGCGATAGGATCTCGGTTCGTTGCTAGGCTACAGTAACTTCTTATTTCTTCTTATTATTCTGGTCATCTGATCTCCATCTTCAGTATCTGGTGAGTGTAGGCGACAACTGTTCATGTATGATGTGTGTAGTTTGTTGGAAATGCTTTTCATAACCCACCAAGTCACTAAACCATCACATAGAACCACTGACTTACTTGAATGACATTGGTAGTATTGAAAATCCGGATGTTGTTCCACATGTTGAGTGCAGTGTAGTAGATCTCCACACTGATTTGAGATTGATATGGGAACGTGTGTCATACTGTCTTCCCAATCCTGCTGACTTTGACATTGTCATCTATGTTTGTGCCGCCGCCTGTCGTTGAGAAAAACCCTACATCAGACAGAATGATTACCCTCTTTGCATCCATCTACATGAATATCAACTAGCAATAAATCGTCATGACATATCTTCACTCATATCAATTCATACATACAACTGCAGACATAAATTTAACTGAGAAAATGTGAAAATCCTGGCTAGATAGACAAAATACAAAGAATACTAGAGAGTGTTTAGTAGCCTGATATTCAGGAAGATCTATGAAGTCAATCAATGACACAATCATCAAAGGAATTAACCAATCACACATAAACCAGTTTGTCAGGGTAAGCAAGTGAATCACTCATGGAGAGATATTGACAGCTCACTTCATATTGAAGTTAGTGCTGATGATGTCACTGTCTAGAAAGACGATGAAAGCTCCTTGATCATACACTCCAGCTCAGAGAACATAACACAACCAAGAATACCTGCTGTAAGACAAACAAAAAGGTCACATATTAACATGTTCTTAATATCAGGAAGTAAATGAACCATCAGTGTGGATTCAGTAGTGTGTGAGACTAAAACAGATGTTTAGCGTTTGGAGACCTTTTAATAAAGTGACAGATAAATGCATAAAATTTAGTTGATGGCTATATGCTATATGAACTGTAGATAGTGGCTACCAGTGGACTCCAGGTTGACGCTGTTTTAGTCCTATTCTGGACTCAGCCAAGTGTATCTGCATCCCAGTGAGTGATGTTGTTCCCACTAAGACTTAAAATGCGCACCGATTGCTTCAAACGCCAGAGCGTTACCCGCTAGACCATCGGGTCACGATAACCACTTCTTGTGTGACGGGCATAATTTTAATGTTGTTGTTTGTATCATCTTGTTGTTGGGTGGACCGAAATGATCGGTATCTATTGGCATATAGGCGCCTGCATGGATGCCTTGATCTTGTCTGTGTTTCGAGTATAAATTGAGGCAGCTGACGACTCCCATATGGGACGAAACGTGCGTTAAGCTGGATTCCACTGCCAACCGCTATCCATCATTCATATATTGATCATATGGAATCGTTCGTGAAGGAATCCAAATAGAGACAGATCAATTGGGTCCACTCAACAACGGGATAATACAAGTAACAACATTAGATATACAATATCTTAGGATTTCCCTTCTAAGGGTGATAAAGAAAAGCATAAAACTGAATTTACTTGTACAATCTTTGACGTTGTATACAACTCTTCATATAATGAGACAGAATGTGAACAGTTTTAGCTGTTGCTTCTGGTAACATTTCATTAGCTTCGGCTGCCATTTGTAAGACACGATGTAGATTGAAACCTGAATGTGACATACCTAAACGCCACATTAAACACGGTAAATAAAATAATAAAGCTTGAGCAGCCATTACAATTGGTGCCCATTGATAATAGACTAAAAGTAATTCACGTCTATCTGGAACAGGTGGTAATCGATTTTCAATTGGTGCAAAATATGTATTTGCTACCCAACAATAATTTTCAGCATACTCTTCCCAACCTCTTGTAAACTCTTGAGGTATCCAACACTGAATTGGCTTTCCTGAAAGAAAAAAAGAAAAGGTTTTCAACTTAAAAGTATGAATTATAAATTCATTGAAAGCTTTTAATATAAGCTTTGTCATGAATTTGTTCCAGTCGAGTTAGTAAAATGTGTGAATTACCTAAATTATTATATTACCTTCTGACTCTTCATCTTATGTTTTGATAGATTTTCCTGACTTTTTGACCGAGTTAAGTTACATGCTTCCTTTTGAGGCCAATTTAGACGCTTTCCTACTATCCGTTCTCAAATTTGAGAAATTTTCAAATTGTCGACCATTTTTTACCTGTCCCGGGAGTAACTATAGCTCGCTTAAACTTCATCTTCACTCGCGTCTGAACGCCACAGTTTTATCGCTGAATAAATACTCAACCTACACTGTATCCCGCTAGTCCTCGCTACAACTAACTATCAACTCAACCATCAAAAATTTAAGGAAACAGATTTGTAATTGTACTTTTCACCTCTGCAGCCACCCTAGAATAGCTGGGACACTGAGTAATAGGTGCCAAAAGAATCTAATTTTCCTGCACTACTGCTTTTCACCGTTAGTAACTGTTTTCCCTGAAATTTCCAGCATCCTTAACTCTGGTTCTTTCTCTGATAGGGTTCCCTACTGCTGGAAACTTCATTCTAGGATGATACAGTTATCCAATGAACCCAGATTTTCAATAGTTCTCTTGATTATATCAGTCCGTGATGAACACCAGCTTAAAATATTACTTCTAGTAACCAAATGAAAAATAAATTTGACGCCTAGCATAGGCTAATTTTTCACAATATTTCTAATACAAGTAGTTTATTACTAAATTTCCTTGGCATGGGATCTAATAATAGTAATAATAATAACGTCTAAAAACATACAGTTTTTGAAGTCTTTCAAGAAATGTCTACATTTTCAAGTCAATACTAGTCACTGAATGTAAAATAGATGTTCTCAACAGAAAAGTAAACATCATGGAAATGTTACTGTTCAAAACTTAGACAACGTCAAATGAAACAAGCTTTTTAAAACGTTTACTAACGTGGGTGCGCACTGCTAAGGAGTCCCATACTAGTCGGACAAAACAGCTGGCTATCCAGTGCTCCCAGGTTTCCTTTGTTCCTCCAACTGATGCCAGTCTGCTATGAATAACAACTTGAAATATTTCCAAATCCTCACAACTCCCTCAAAATTCAATTAAAAAGAAAATATTGAGACGATTTGTTCACCAGTGGAAGAATATTATATTCACTCGGAAACAAAGGAGCAATTCCGGATAAAACATTTTTATTGTGTGAAATACACCCATAAGGACATATAGGTGGAGGGAGATAGAGGAGATTTCGAAGACTAAACACTAAAATCATGAAAGGAGAAGAGATTGAACAGTCTTATTTTGTGTGCACAGTTCAGGTTTCTCCATATAGAGGGCAAAAGCTTTGGCTATTCAGAGAATATGAAGACATACAGCCTTTGGAATTTTCTTCATAGGTGACTTTGAACGAGAGGGTTCTTGAGATAGAGTGATTCTTGTTCATGCTATGTTCAGTTATAGCACTCTATATCGTCCCACTTTTACCACTTTGTAACCATGTAGGGTAGTGTTCTCGAACCCTTATGGATAACAATCGCATCGAACAACTCCATAAGAGCAGCTGAATTGATATATCCATATACAAGTGTTCAGATGCAAAGTTCCTCCTTTGATTGGTTAAAAATCGTTGGGCGTTGATACAAAGAATGTCCTTCTAAGAGTGTTTGATATCCTCCTTCTTAGATTGTCAGCGCAGAAATACCTTCGAAGTTTAAATTCATATAGAGTGTCTTTTTTGATACGGTAGTATGGCTTTCTTTGTGAGGTTCAGGCTTGATTTGTATGCCTATGAAGCGTAGTGGGAATCCGTTTTCAATCAGGGTTTTCTTTAGAACAAAAATTTCCTCTTCTAACACATCCGCACTATAGATTCATCCAATGAAAAAGTCAAGAGATATGATCAAATTTCGTTTACGAGTTATAGGGACCCAGCTATTAAAGTTTGTCAGTTGACCATTCCATATTGGTTTTCTGTGAATTGATCTATTTAACTAAATGGAAAATTGTCTTTTAATAGATGAAATTGCCAGCATAGAGTTTTACTGCAGATATGTGAATGATATTTTTTAGCAGTTGTTAAGCGACTGTACGACATCTGAATCACTCTAACAGTGTTTATCCATGAATTCATTTCAATCATGAAAGTTTATAAGAAAGGGCAAGAATCTTCATGGGACAACTATAGGGGAACTAGCTTGACTAATATTGTGTCCAAGACCACAAAGTCCATATTTATGTGACACCTAACTGGAGTTCAAGAACAGTAAGCTGGAGAAAATCAGGTAGGTTTCAGACCCAGACGAGGGTGCATCGTTATATATTTGTACCCTATAGTAGTTTCTGGAACATGGGCATACCTACCGGGGGACGACTAAAACTTGTTATATTTCTCGACCTAAAGGGAGTATTTGACCCCGTCGACCTTGAGGTATATAATGCTTATCAAAGCTGTCTGCTCGAACTCTCGCAGCTGTGTCGGGGCTTATGGAGAGATGACAACGACCAATGGTGTCCACCACAGATGTCCATTGTCATCGTTCCTATTTAACTTCGTCAAAGACGTACTAATGGACATAACTTTAGGTATGTAGAATATGCAAATGATATTGTTCTACTAGGCGAAGGCGTTGACGAAGTGCAGGGTCTTCTGAAAGCCTTCAGGAGAAATCTGTGCGTGTTTCGCATGCATTTCACTGGCTTTGTTAAATGTAAGATGATGCTCCAGAACCAGTATGTAATGACTCCCAGCTTAATGACAGAGAGTGTAGTGGTGGAATACACTGATCAGTTCACTTCCTTGGACAATTGAATCAGTCGTAACGATATCTCAGTTCAGATATAGAAGGCCGGTTTGCCATTTGTCAACTTACCACACATGTAACGTCAGTGAGATATGCGACTATCTATCAAAGGGCTAGTATACTGTACCACTGCGATTCATTCTGTCTTGTTATATGGCTGCGACATATGGCCATTAAAAGTAGACGACATGAAGTGTTTGCTCGTCTGTAATTATGGTGGGAATGCAGACTATCTGGTTAGTGTCGCCGAGACGATAGGAATCAATGGTTGAGATAATGCCTAGCATTTAGAGTAAAATCAATTTGCTCCAAGGATTCTTCGGAAGAAGTACCACTGTTTATCCGTGATATTCTAAGTGTAAATGGATATCCTGGAAATTTAGTTGAAATAAGTAAAGTAATGCTTGCATTATTCCCAAGTGGGAAATGATGATAGTTGAGAAGATACTTATGTCTCCGGATCTAGAATTTATGGGAGACAAAAACTAGAAGTGATATCCTATCATGAAGTCTAATTAGGGCAGTCAATAGATTGTTTTACCCAGGTAGTTTGTAAATCTTTCAGTAATTGGCTAAGTCCAAGACTGAAGGATACTCGGAATTACATAAGCTTCTTATTTTGCTTATCTCGGTTTGGCTGTTTTTATGGGACAAGTTACATGGGGTGTACGATTAGATAGGTGCATCTTGGGATATAGGAACATTTACCAGTCTATTATTGACATACTTGTGATTATCCGTTGTTTTATTGGATTGAATTATTCGACCTCTAATGGAATATGGGTTCCTTTGAGGAAGTCTCGATATTGCCTGAGTGTTAATTACGGTAATTTGGTTGATTTTAGCTGGTAAAGGAATCCAGGATGCGCGTTTCATCCTACTTGGGACTCATTAGTCAGCTGGATGTACCTGCACTCCACTGAGACTCGGACCTAGTACCCATCGCTTCAAACGCCAAGGCGTCATCCACTATGACATGGAAGAACGAGAGTTTCTCCTTGTACAACGAGTAGTAGTTATTGCTATTTATTGATATGCTTGTAATTCTCCTCTGCTTGCTACAACCAACCAAATTACTGTAATTAACATTCAGACAATATCGAGACATCCTCATAGGAGCCCGTATGTCAATAGACATCAAACAGTTCGATCCAGTAAAACATCAGACACAAAACACCACAAATATGTCAATATAGCTTCTAATATCATACACATTGTTCCGTAAAACATTACCAAGTACAAATTACCACTGCCTTCTCAGTTTAACTGAAGCTATAGCGGAACAATTGATCGAATCTGTAATTCCTTCAACCTTCAGTGAAACTGAAGCTACTCTTATCCTCCTTATTCGTTATCTTTTAAACTCATCTTTCCTCTGACTGTTGGATTCATCGTCCTAATATTGACATATTAAAAATATTGAAGTAATGGAGAATATTTGTAGTTCAGGTGGATGGTCTTGGTTGTATTGTGTTCTCTGAGCTGGATTGTTTAATCGTGAGGAAGCTTTCATCGTCCCTCTGCACAGTGACATCATCACCACCAACTTCAGTATGAAGTAAGCTGTCAATATCTCTCCGTCAGTGATATAGTGGCTTACTCTGACGATGTGGTCTGTGATTGGTTGTTCCCCTCGATTGTTGTGCCATTGATTGTATAGACTTTTCTGTTGGCTATTCCTCTGCTTCACCTATGACCTTTCTGTCGTTTATCGTTTTTCTTATTGGTTGATAGATTGGGTCTATGTCTATACATCTATTGATTGCTGACTGACTGATCTGAATGCAACGTGCATTGAGATGAGTGATGAAATGTCGTTTCAATGCAGGTGGATAATTATGGACATGAATTGAATTTCGACAATGTAGAAATTTCGGACAGAGGAAACACAAAGAATGTCAGAGAATTCCTACAAGCTCGGCATTCAGGTCGGTCAGTCAGTAATCAACAGATGTATAGACATAGACCCAATCTATCAACCAATAAGAAAACGATAAACGACAGAAAGGTCATAGGTGAAGCAGAGGAATAGCCAACAGAAAAGTCTATATAATCAGTGGCACAACAATCGAGGGGAACAACCAATCACAGACCACATCGTCAGAGTAAGCCACTAAATCAC